GGAGAATTACTGTCAATAATTCTTTTCTTAAAGATTTACCACCAGCACTGATTGAGGACATAAATTTTGCCGGACGAAGTACTTTATATAATCCTAATTTCCCAGGTATTTTTTATTTTTTATTGACGTTTAAATTTGTTTAGTAACATTGGGCTTAAGATGTTATCTTTGAACTAGTAGGGGAATTTATTAAACATTTCATCTGCAAATGATTTAATCAGACGCTTTGAGTAGATAAGCTAAGAATTTTTTGTAAAATGAAAAAAAATCTACTGTCTGTTGTATTGCAAACTGACGAGTGTGGAAGAGGATATCAATTCTTACCTATCTTTTTTTTGGGGGGTTTCAAGGGGGTTAAAATGAAAAGACTACGGCTTGAAATGAAAGCTCAAATGGATAACAAAGTTGGGAATCACCTTTTGAGAAGTTTGGGGTTTTATTTTTTTTTAAAAAGATAAAAGTTGTTTTAACTGTAGGTTATCAAGGAGTATTGACTAAACATTTATTATGAGTTTAAGAAAACTTTATGTCCATCATATAATTAACCCCGCACCCCTAGGTATAAAGTGTATTTTATGTTAGTTTTTTTGCACATTTTAAAGTTTGTTTTACTGGGCTATTGAAGAAACCTCACTATTTTAATGGAAGATAAAGTTATATTTTTGCTAGTAGTATCTTATGTGTGACGGATGTGTAAGGTCTTTGCGGCTCGTGAGTCTTCACCCTAAATTATAAGTACAGCATACTTTAAAAATTATTACTGAGTTGAATGTTTTTAAGTAATATCTCAGCTCATTTCTTTTTTTTGGCAAACATTTGTATTTATTGCACTTTTATTTCCATTTATAGTAACACTGGGCATAGAAACAGTAAGCATAATTGTAAATGGAAAACGGTGTTAATTTTTAATTTTTTAGATTTGGATTTGCACCATGACATATCCGTCGATGAAGTGAAGGACATGTTAAAAGAATACAGGCATCTAAAGGAAACGCAGCCGGTTTATAATTATTCTTGATTTTGATTTTCCAGAACTTTTATTTTGTCTACCACTTAGAAAGATTTTCTTTTTGATAGTTGTTTTGTGTTACTTAAAGGTCTTCAGGATTTGCCATCAATGGATATCTCCGGAATTACGGTGGAAGATGTATATCAAAGAACTAAATTGCCTTGTATTGCGGAAAGAAACCTGACACCTGAAGTATCAGAAGCCATGAAACAACCTTTTAGGCAGAATAAATGAGTCGTGTCATCTTAGTAGTGAGTCGCTGTTAGGTCTTGAAATTTGCAGTTAGGTTTAGAGTATACAGTTTAAAAAAAAAGAATTTGAACCATTTTTCTACCGGATGTTTTGCTTCTTTATCAAATTGCGCTCTTGTTAGGTCAATTAATGATGGAGATCTGACGACTGAGTGGTTTGGTTCGTCAGCATGCCCTTGGTTTTGCTGTGTTATTAATTTCAGTCAGAAAACTTCCTAAATTTTTTGGCTTTTAGCAGCATTATTAGTGCACTCTATGTTCCTTTGACATTTGGTTTCTTCCTGATGTCTTTTTTACTCCTTACCTTTCGGTGTTCATCAAGACCTGATTGGTAACGAACGTGTGTGAATAGGTTTTTAACTTGAGTATTTTGGGGAAAATGGTATTTTTGATTAGTGAATTCAATTCGTCTCTCAAGAACTAAGCTTATAAATCAAAGGTTACTTAGCTAGGAAGAAAGGTTTCGCAATCGGTCAATTTTATTTTGTTAGGTATTTACTAGTACTATAAATTTAGTGTGCGTTTTTCCAAAATCTTATTCCTCTTTACAGTTTGAAAGAAATGTCTTCTAGCGATTGGTAATAATGTTTGAAATGATAGTAAAAATGATTAATTTTTGCTGCAATATTTTTTCTATTTCAAATTATTTTTGAATAAATGCATTGAAAATTTCTGTTGATCTATATATACTGTAAGTGTATGGAGCACGTTTTTATCGAATTCGACGCTTATGAATATAATTTAAGAACGGTGTTGTTTAGAAAAAGCTGATTTTGAGAGCTTCTTCTATGCCTGGGAAGTTTTTTCGGTTTGTTCTGTTTGAAAATGACGATCTAGTTTTGTTTGATGGAGCAGGTGTTTCTGTTTCAGAACAGTACTTTTTCTTCATAAGGGGTGACTGAATGAAGGAATTCGCTGCTGCTGCTGCTTAGTTTTTTCTTTTTGGTAGTAAATAAAGGAAGATTTATCAATTGTTGTGCATTTATGATTGAAGGGACGGTTACTGGTTGTGTTTTACAGACACTCATGAACTGTAGTTTTTTTTTAAATTGGTTTTGCCTATGATTGATGCTGGCGGGCGTCTGATAAATTGTTGCTCGTTCGCATCACTGTATAGTTGGTTTTTGACTGGCCTTTTTCATAGGGGAGTAGGAGATTAAAAACTGGGGAATTGTTAAAAAAAAATAGATTTATTTGAACGAGGAGTTATCTAAATTGGTAAAGATGGTTTATGGGTATCTCTCTTCGGAAGTGAATTTTGTGTTGGGTGATAGCAAAAATCGTTAAAATGTTTCATTCTGTATGATTATGATTCAGGGTTGTTGAATTTGAGGGAAGTTTATTTACGGTGATTAGAATCTGTTGGAGACGGAGGAAAAAATTGGTGAAGAAATGAGCGAAGGAGCATTTAGAAGTTTTTTGTGGTGCAGGATATATACGGATTGTTTTTGGTTTTTTCATTTATTTTATTTCTTTTAAATTTTCCTGTTTTTGCCTGATGAAAGAAATGATTTTTGCACTGTACAAGTTTTGCTGCAAGTGTTAAGGATGGGGAGGAGAAGATTGTGTATATGTGTTTTTGTTTTTGTGTTATTATATATGCATTTTGATTTCTCATCGGTCTTTTATGAGCAACAATTAAGCAGTTCATTAAATTATTTGGTCATTCTATAGAGAAAGAGTATCACAGAATTTCTGGCCTTTCACAGTGATTTTCCTTAGCATTCATTTGTTTCGTTTTCTTTCATTCTGCTGTCTTGCGTATCCTAATTCTCTCTAAAATTTTTCAAAAGAAGGAGAAAGAAGAAAGCGAAAAAAGAACTGGTTGTTCAAGGAGAATGAAGTTGGTGTGTGGAGGAGCAATAGCGTCTGTAGAAGAGTGCATGTTACTCTAGTGAGGAACAGGTATTGCAGGGGTGGAAAACGTTGACATTCGAGGGGTTTCAGTTGGAGTTTTTTAAGTGTGACACGTAACAGCCGTTTCTTCACCATCCTCAG